TTAGCTTAAACTAATCATAAGCTAATTAAATTTTAATTGAGATAAATATGTATTTAATGTATTTAAGTAGGCTGATTAGAATTTGGATATTAAATAATATATTAATGAGTCTTTCATTAAAAAGTCATTAATCATTAGAAAGTTTTTATGCTAATTAAAACTTATCAAGATTTTAGTTTTAAGTTATTCTAACGTTACATAATCAAGTTAATTGACAAATTAGTTGTTTTGACTAATTAATTGAGGAATAACTAGCTATTAATTTAAAATAATTAATAATTAAGTAAAATTTCATTAGACGGGATGATTTAATGTTTATTAATCAACATACTAGTCCTTTGCATTTAGTTGTGATAAGATGGCAATTTAAGACAATCATAACTTAGTTAAGATTAAATTGGTATACATAATATTTAATTAAGTAAATTATAAATGAACTAATAAATTGATAGAATAATTATCATAAATTATAATAAGTAATTTAATGATTAGAATATCACCTTAAGCTAATTAATATTTAATTACAATTTGATTCGGAAAAATAGCATCAAATTAAAAAAATTCAACATTGATTAATTAATCAAGTAGTTACTCAAATAAATACTAATAAACTAATATTTAAGATGTTTTCAGTGACTAATTATATATCAGTTGTAAATTACTTATACTAATTAGTGTTTAAGCATACTAATTGTGAACTAGTTGGTGTTCCATTATAATTTAACTAGACAATCTGAGACTCAATAATATTTAATTTGACTTTTTACACATTAATTAATAATTTATATTAATTAGCTGAAGTAATTATTAATTACTTAAAAATTACTGTGTTATCTCAGTCTAACAAGCAATAAATCAAAAATACTTCTTTTAAGTACTGAATCCTTCTTAGAACTCCGGATGAAATAAATAAAAATAAAATCAATATCGTTCCTTTTTTTCCTTTTCTCTCAATTAAACTACTTGCTTTTCTTCCGTCAACTCCCAATGAAAATCAAATCAATAGCATGAAGCACAATAAGTAAATTAGGTTATGCTCGCCAAGTTATCTGTGATAGCATCGATAGTTACTTTACTATAAGAAAACAGTGAAATTTAGATTAGATATTCATCCTAAACCCAAAGCACGCAAGCATAATAGTAAACTCAATTTTCTTCAACTGTTTTTCTCTACCGTGAATCAAATACGAATCGCTAAACAAAAACCAGAGCAACAAGATATTCATAAAAAAAAAAACAAAGTTACAGAAAAAGGTTTATGCAGCTAATGACCTGATGGTCCTGATCCCATATACAGAGCAAAATAAACAGAAGAGACATTAATCCGAAAAGAAACCATTACCAATTCGACAATAGATTTGACAGAGGGAGAAAAAAGAGTTAACTTATTACCCATCTCTTCCGGCGTGGAGAAAACCCGCCGGCCTGTCGGCTTTGACTTGAACTTGCCCCTCACCATTACCTAACCAAGAAAGGCCAGAGAAAGGCGGCGATGCAGCGAGAGGGATGAGTGGAGTCCTCGGAGCCGCAGCGTTCTCGCTCGCGAATTCGAACAGCACACGACTCCTCGAATCTCGATCTTCTACTCGTGTTCTTAACGCAACCTTTATTCAAAATATTAGCATTATTTTAAAGTGCGGAACAAAAATTTTAGGATCTATTTCGCGGGGGCGATTTTGGCGTGGCGCGGCGCGGCGCGGTGAAGCACGAATCTCAGCTGTTAGGTTCAGCTTCCCGTGCTCGGCCGGACGCTGCAGGATGATGTTTAAGCGGAAAGCGGGCCGCGGCCGGCGTTCGAGTAATGGATTATTATGTGTATTCCCCTTCCCATCTTTCATATTCCACGACTATACGTATTTTGAAGCATTTGCATTCCTCTGTTTCTTACATTTCTACCGAGTAGATGTTTTATTAATTGACCATTTTTTCATTTATTTTTCTTTGATACAGTATTTCAACAGTTAGAGGTTGATTATGTGATCGGAAAGAGCAACAAAGAGATGCTTCTAATGTCTTCTGTCTCAGCAGCAATTCTCACAATTTTTGGAATAACCAAGAAAGGTTAGATTTTTTTCTTAAATTATATTTTTTTTTGCTTTCCCTTGACATTAAATCCTTCATTTGGTATGCATCATTCAAAGTATTGTTGGCTTTTGACATATCAAACAAATTGAGATGGTTCACAAGAAGAGCATCATGTATTATCAACAACATGAAACTTAGCCTTTTCTAAAGATCATAGTTACTTTGTCAATCATGATTTCTAGTTGTCTTGGTACTTATCGTTATTTTTTTAGTCAGCACTAATTACAATTTTTTTTTATTTTTTGCATAGTTGCATTTAAGCTATAAAAATAATATATAAATTTTTGTTCTGTTTTGAAATGAATTTTTACTTTTAAAGTATCAAATATGTGTTTATCACGGTTTTGTTTTAAATAGTTTTACTAAATATGGACAGAACGATCATTTTTTCAAAAATAGCTGCCCCACAGCTGTTTTCACACAGTTACACTGAACAAATAATCAGCTTCCTCACAGCAGCTTTCTGGGGCAACGCAGCTACAACTGAAAAGCTGGGAAGCTGCAGATGTGCCAAACAGAGCCTTAACTGTTCGGATTTTGAATACAATATTTTAATTTTTTTTATTATTATTAAAACCAAGATTTTAGATATTTAAGATATTATATTTAAAATAAAAAATAAAAAATATATTATATTTAATATTTTGATTATTTGTTATGTCATGAATTTATTAAAATTGTAAATATTTTTTTAAGTTTTGGTGAAGTTCTTTTTTTTTTTTTTTTGAAAAATAAGAAAAGGAAAAAAAAATTGGAGTTTTGCTAATTGAAACATCTTACATGGGTATTTAGTATATTGTATTCCTCAAATTTGGACAAGGAATGTAATTTACTCTTCAATTTTTTAGAGGTAAGGGTATGGGGATTAATAAAACTTTATTGTAAGATAAAGACATTTAGATTAACTATTCTCTAATGATAGAAATTGATGGGGATTATATCCTAATAATTTATTATTGATTAACTTGAGAATATATATTTTTTTAATTTTTTATTTTTTATATGCTTATTTGTTTTATTAATATTTTTAAAAAAAATTTCATGATTATTATTGTGAACTATATAAGTATTGTTATATATATTAGAGGATAATATCTAAATAATCTAAAAATGTTCATGATTGATGAACTATGTTGGATATCTATGAGAGAAAAGTTTATATGAATTGTAAATCTAAGTTATTTACATAAGTGTGCTTTATATGATTTGATTATATAAGACTAGAACATAATTAGATCAATTATATGATAGATATAATGATAAAAATAATAATATTAATTTTTATGAAGTTATTTTTTAAATTCTTAGTTATAAATTTAAAAATTAATTTACTACTTATATTATTGAAATGTAACGAACTAAGGCCCCGTTTGGGACAGCTTAAATGTGCGGCGGCGTTTTTGAAAACGCCGCCATAGCGTTTGAAAATCACGTATTGCCTGCGC